GTCCCAGCTACTTGGGAGGCTGAGGCAGGAGACTCGCTTGAGCCCAGGAGTTGGAGGTTGCTGTGAGCTGTGATGCCATAGCCCTCTACCCGGGGGATAGCCTGAGGCTCCGTCAAAAAAAAAAAAAAGCTCAGTTATGGAGCCAGATGTTAAAACAATGGGAAGCCGTAAAGAATTTTAGGCAGGGAAGTAACATGATCAGATTTACTAGAGGACAAGCTGCTTAATCCCTCTGAGCTTCAGTTTCCTCCTCTGTAAAATGCATGATTATTGTGAAAATTAAAGCTAATGTATGTAGATTGTCTAGCATAGAGTCTGGCAGCAATTAGGTATTCAAGAGTGGTGACCATTTGCATTACTAATATTAATAGAAAGTTCCAGCCTTGTTGACTGATTAATGTTGAAATAAAAAAAAAAGAGAGAGAAATACTCTATGAGAGAATACTTTGCCTTAAATTAGATAAGGCTGATGTATACAAAGGTTAAGAAAAATACATGTGTGAAATAAATTCAAGTGAAAGGGTCAGTACGTTCAGTACAGTGATGACTATCGTGAAAGTCATTAAAAAGTTCATTTTTGAGCAAATTACCACTCCGTTATTTTAAAATATTTGGATGCACACTGCAAACAGGGGATTCTCTCGTATGTTGAGACAGAAGACAGTCTTTACCCTAAAATAGCTTATAAATATCATTTTCAGGGAAAAAAAGCCATAAACAAAAAGAATTGTAGTGTTAGATATATCCACAAGGTAGGATGCAATTAATGGGGCATAGTACTTAATGTTATACATATTAAGTGCTCTGGAGGCTGAAAGAGAAAAGAACTAGATTGGATTGGTTTGTCTTTCCTAGAATAAGTTTTTGAAGATTTGATGAGGTGAGGCTAGAGAGAAGTAAGTGGAGAAAAGCCCATGGCATGTTGTGGTGGAGGGCGGGCAGGAATGTGATGAGACTGGTTCTATTAGAATGGGAGTGGTAACAGAGAACACATCCACTGAGTCCAGAGAAGAGCAGGCTAAAGACAGAAAAGTTGAAATGAAGAAGAGGAAAATCCTAGTATAGTGGTATCTAATTTTGACCACTTTAGATACCTTATACATGTAAGTGGAATCATACAGTATTTGTCTTCTTGTGTCTGGCTTATGTCACGTAGCATAATGTCTTCCAGGTTCATCACGTCGTAGCATGGGACCAGGTTTCCTTCCTCTTTAAGGCTGCATAATATTCCATTGTATGCTTAAACATTTTGCTTATCTATTCATCCATCAATGGATGTTTGTTTTGCTTCCACCACTTGGCTTTTATAATGATTCAGCTGTGAACTATTATATGGAAATATTTCTTCAAGACCCTACTGTTGCATATTTTTAGTGAACAGTAAGATGAAATAATCATTTATTTTGAATTATGGAAAATTTACTTAGTAAAGTTAGATGGAAAACTTTTAGTAGAAATTTTGAAGGTACTCTGGGAACATTGCAAAAACCTTTAGGAATGGTTGAGACACCACTCCTAAATAGATTTATTTTTCCTAGCTTTAGGTTTAAGACCAAGTATTACTTTTGAATTTGTAAATATTATTTATGAGCCATTTTTTAAGAAGACAAACTTTCTGGTTAATCTGGGCATGTTATAAGAGGATGGGAAGAAACTAAAAAGTTCATAACCTTTGGTCACTGTCCAGCATGTAACTGTCTTAGGTGCCCAGCCTGAACCTTCTTGGGTGTTCACTGCCACACCGAGCAATGATATTGACAAGGTTACATCAGATAGCCACAACACTAACATTTGTGATTTCTTCAGTGGGAAAGGACCATACACTTAACATGTATGCATTCAGATATAAATTACCTCACCATGCCAAGACCCAGTTTTTAATTCATGATGTATCACTAAGGTGATTCTCTGTATTATAATTTGTAACTTGCTCTTATGTTACCTTCTGAAAGTTTTTTAGTAGCTATAATTTTTCTGTTAAATTACATCTGACATGAGAGACAAAATTATTTCAATTTCGGATCTTCATTGTAGTCTATCAGTGTTTGGAGAGTATTTTGGAAGCTTGGTAAATGTTCCTTATTTTTGTCTAAAATTCTAAATCTTAGATATAAATCCAGGCCAGGTGTTAATTGACTGAAGCAGATATCTAGCAAATTTAGAGAAATTAGGTTTCAAATGATCTTGTACTTTGCATTAATTAAAAAAAAGTGGAGAAAAAGGCAATTGGCTTTTCAGTGGTGTTTCACTCTTTCCAAAGAATTCGTTGTCATTAAGGCTTTAATAAATTGACTGAGTAACATGCTGTTTTGAAGAGGCAAAAGATTATTGTGCAATACCAGATCACTAATCTGTTTTTTCAGCAGGTTCTAAGTCATCTAGTTAGAAATTGTTACTTGCTGCAAGTTTAGACCTAAATATATTTATCCTTTAAAGGCTCTTGATGTTTTTTCAGGATTTTTATAGCTCTTCGCATGCATCCCTGGGCTACTTAATTAATACAACATAGAATTGCTTTCTTCTTTAAAGGAAATTGTAACACTTAAATTTATTAATTAAATGTACCAGTTCATTGTTGATTAAACTATTAGAAGCCAAATTAATTTTATGTCACAACCAGCTGATTGTTTTATTTCACTGATGGACCTGAAGTTCTGTAAATATGCTAATTTTCTATTAATGTTTAACATCCTATTACACTGTTTTATTCACACTTTATTATAGCACTTTCATTCATTTAGCAAATGTTTTGGCATTTAGTATATACTAGTCAGTAGGCCAGGTGTTTTCTCAGCATATTTTAGTGTTGAAAGTCTCCTGTTAAATAATCTCTGGGATATCTGGGAATTTTAGATCAGATCATTAAACATTTTTTTAAATTTTACATTATGCCAAGGAAAAAAGATGTACTTCTTTGAAGCTGTTTTGTCAAAACAGTTTTAATTTTTACT